TTGTTTAATTTAATAATTATGAGTGAAGTTTTCCAGGAATGGTTTATGGATGAGTTTCAATGCAATCTTCCTCTTCCCCTGATGAATATATGAACACAAGCGTGCCGCGTGGACTTACTCTACGTAAAGAATTTATTCTGCTGTCTATTGTTGTACACACTCGCTGCTCTTCCCTCCAGGCTTGTTTGAGAGGTGCTGCCTGGACCACTGGAGAGACTCAATCTCCTTGGCCTTGACGCGGTCCTCGACAGCTCGTGCCTGGGCGGCAGCATTCTCAATGAGCCGTAAATTGTAATTGAGAGAAGATAGTTTCAGCTTTAACGATGTGATCTCCGAGATCAAACATTCACATCGCTCAGACAAGGCAGAGACAGCAGAGTCTGCGAGGACGGATTCGCGAATCCCTAGTTCAGCTCCGTTTTGGTGCAATTCAAGGCGGCTACCGAGTGTCATTCTCCGCTCACTCCTCAAAGTTTTCAAAAGCGCGCCAGATTCGGGTGATTGTCTATTAACATCATCGATCAAACGAACAAAGATATCTGAGTACAAGATCTCCCGCTTTCGACAAACTCCAGTCTCGTTGGGTTGCGAACCATGAAGGCGCTGGCCCAATTCGTGGCGTAGCGACCTCACTTGACCGCGCGCGCTGCGCGGCATGATGAGCGGTTTCCGTCCACTTGGCCTTTCGTATCTCCCACTAGCCTGAGCTAAAGGAAGCAGAGTAAACTCCTCCCTCAAGGGGGAGGCTGAGCTCAGCTCGAGGGGAAATGGCAGTGTTCCTGACTTAGACTGAAAATGGAAAAGTGAGATGGGGCTGCTAGGCAGCCCTGATTCCCAACAGGAGAGAGTTACTCTACGGTACCCTACGAGGGTTTGGACAGTATTCTCGATCACCTCGGTCTGTGGACCATGTCGCGCCTCGGGCCCGGCTGCGAGTAGCTGTAGTTGTGAAGATAAGGGGGTAGTGGTTCAATTTCCAACTGCAGCTGCAACTTAAGCCTGCCCCTCGCTCAACAAACGATGAGAGGGAATCGGATACAGCCAATTTCAGTTCGCTGACATCCTCTTCTATTATTGTGCGCCTGAGCGCACCCCAGGAAAATCTTCTCCTATCCAGCCGGCCCTATTCTTTTCCTGGGAGTCCTAGACTAGGCTAGTCCCCGAGCTGGGTGGAGCCCATGTTGAAGGCAACACCCAGCTCCTAATCCAACTATATCATTCTATATCTTGTATCATTCCTTAATATGTGGGATATCGTTCAACCCCACACGATAATTGAGGGAGTTGAACGATGGTCGAACGATATTTGACGCTGCGTTCGGCATGTTCCGGGCCACTGTGGAAGAAACTCAGAGCACTTCGCTGTACAAATTCGGGATCGGCGGTCTCGAAAAGTCACTCCATGTCGAGCGAGAGGCAGCAGAAGTCGAACACGCCACGGTGGGATCTCAGCTTCTGCGTCTTCCCCCACGAGACGGACTGAAGTTTCAGGATCTCTGACCCCGAGTTCCTACTGCGAACTACTCTCGTTTTCTTCCCCTGTGAACCATAACATGCCCAACGCAGCGCCAGAGATCGAAACTCAGCACGCTGAGACCTCGTCCGACCAATGGGATCAGCGGATTGGATTCTTGGATAATATATATTTCGTTCTCTACATGGCGCCGGAGTATTTCGAAGGGTATATACCGGCATGGTAAAATACCGGTATATACCGGCATATACCCGGGTCCTTTTTTTCATACCGGGCATTTCGGTTTTGGGCGTCCGTCATCCCGCGTACGGCGCGGCTGCAGGGCCCGGCCGCGACGAGTCGCGCCAAGGCGTTCGCCAGTAGGCCAGTCCACGTAACTCCCGCGGCTGCCCCTGCGAGGGTTATGGGCCCACAGGTCGTACACCTGGGAGTGTCGGTAGTTGGTAGTCTAGTTGCATTTCTATGCATTTCTATATTCGAGTATTAAGACTAGCCATACACGCGCCAAGCTCATACTCCCCGCAGACAGCACCTACAGCCCAAGCGGAGCTGGGCCGGTCCCGTCGTCGCGAGGTACCGGCCAGCCCTGGGTCATTGTCTGCAAACACGGGGCTAGATGAGAGAGGCTAGGTAGGGGCTACTTCTCAGCAGCGGCGTCAAAGCCAGCGTCTTTTGTTGGCTTGTCACTGCAAAAAATTAGCACATGAGCCTGGTCAAGCTGAAAGAAAAGCAGATATTTTGTCTGGTGGGTAATTGAGCTACCATAATTTGCGCCAACCTATTACGCGCTTATTAAACATCTTCCGCAATGCGTGCAATCGCACCACACAATGCCAGGTTCCTCCGTATGCCGCATCGAAATTTTTTTTCAGATCTGTTGCAACATCCTACAAGATAAGAAATTCGTAGAAATTGTCAACTTCGCTAGTGCCTTTTCGATCGTGTATTTGTCCATGGCGATATCCGCGGCGAGGATTGCAGCGTTTTTCATCTTTTCCGGAATTTCTACGCGATGCAGGCATACCTACGCTTTGACATGCATGCCCGTTTATAACGCACGTTTATAACACCTTCCGAGACACATCCTTTTTTGCAGTCTCTGACTCCTCCTCGGCCATTGTCTGGCTCGTCTGGCTCGTAATTGGCGCGTTACTCGGGCGTTACACAGCCGCTATGTGCAAGTAATCCTCGATTAGCCACTTTGTAAGACACTGTCGAAGATGCACAACTAATCTTCGATTAGCCAGCACTTTAGAAGAATTACCGATGGAACAGGCGGCCAACATGACAGAAACCTTGCCACTTATCCCGTGCCCAAGCCGCGCGAACAGGATCCATCCGTTGTAACTTGGGGTTGTCTACTGAAGTTGCTTCAGCGGCATTACCCTCATTTAGGAATCTGACTCGCCGGGTCTCGCTAGTTAAACGCGTTTGTTCTGGTAGGTGGGGCCGGTCGTAATGCGGCATCTTGAAGGCCGCACGGGCTTCTTGCAGCGGGGCAACGTGCCCTCAAGGAGCCGTCCCCGGGCCTGCCTGGCGAAACCTTTTTAGTCGCCGACCTTTCAGGTCGCTGCCGATCTGACGAAACCGACCTTTCGAGTCGCCGTTCTTTTAGGTCGTGACGCGACCTTTCAGGAGACGCGGCGCGACCTGGTAGGTCCGAGGGGGCGTCGACACCAGACAGGACCTGAAAGGTCCCGAGAGCCTCTAGCTGGACGCCGCCGACGTCTAGGTAGGCACCTGACAGGTGACCTGAAAGGTCGCGATCTGACGTCAGAGAATCGTCGAACCCGAGCGGGGACCTATTTGTAAGGGGGCGCACCGTTTGGGTCGCACCTAAAAGGTCGACTCGGTCTCGCTAGTTAGACCTGGCGAGACGAACGATTGCCGGCTCGCCAGCACGGCGGCCCGTCGACGCGAACGAGATTCGCAGGTCCGAGCGCGGCGGCAGGACATACAGCCGCTGGACGATCGGCAGCCCGATGGACGAAGCTGTGCCGAAAATTAACTTCAACTTGACTTCATAAAGCGCTTCGGTTTGGCCTCCGGCAGTCAGCAGTATGTTACTACTCCCACCCGACGCATGTTAACGCACCGCCAGCTTTGGGTTAGGGTGGGGGGGTGGGGGGGTTAGGTGGTTAGAGAACCACCCGACGGATGTTAGCGCTGCCCAGATCTACGCTGCCCAGTATTTTATTGAAGTTAAACTTGAAGTCGATTTTGGTGCACACCGCCGCTCCCATCGGGCTGCCTTCGTCCATTTCTGCGCGCCTGCCGCCGCGCTCCGACCTGCGAATCTCGTTCGTGTCGACGGACCGCCGTGCGCACGGGTTGGCAATCGTTCGTCTCGCCAGGTTTAACTAGCGAGACCGAGTCGACCTTTTAGGTGCGACCTGAAAGTTGCGACCTTTTAGAACTAGGTCACCGGTCGGGTTCGACGACTTTCTGACGTCAGATCGCGACCTGAAAGGTGGGACCTTCTAGTTTTAGGCGTGCCGGGCCCTCGCTATCGAGTGGCTGCTGACGTCAGACGCGACCTGAAAGGTGCGACCTTTTAGAAGTAGGTGCGCCCGGCAGATCGGCCGGCCGACGCGGTTTCGCGATCTGACGTCACCTCGCGACCTGAAAGGTGCGACCTTTTAGAGTTGGGCGCCCTGGGACCTCGCCAGTCCTGTGCTGACGTCAGACGCGACCTGAAAGGTGCGACCTTTTAGAAATAGGCGCCCGGGGCCTGCGGCTCGGGCGTCCTTGCCGGCAACTTGGCTCCTCGCTGCCCTTGTCGGCATGCTGCAGTCGGCGTCGCGGCGGCGCGTTTAACTAGCGAAACGAGCGTTTAACTAGCGAGACCCGTCGAGTCAGATTCCTAACTCATTACCCTGTGCTTCCACTACACCTCTCAAAGCCTTTAAGTCACTGCTTATTTCCTGCAGTGTAGGTGCTTGGGGGTGCTATGCCCCCTTGCCCTTATCTAAGCAGTGCCATCTCCATAGCAAAGCCAGGCAGGTTGTATTGGTCGATTGTCCCGCCACCGGCTTTCGCCTCTATTCTTGGCTTTAACAGGCCGCTGTACTCACGCTTGCTTTTGTCGATCTGCCCTCTCACCCTGGAAGGGCCGCCTAACGTGTTTACGTAAAGAAAGAGAAACCCTTCGTGGTGCATTACGAGCCTCGCACGTGCGCCTTGCTACGTAGCCTTGCTGCGGAGGCATGCTGCCCCTCTCTGGACTGTGCTGGGCGTGACTCTATTCAGGACCATGGTGTGTTGTATGTAGCAATATGTGGTCGTTCGCTGCCAGCAAACAACCCTTTTGGACGCATACTCATCGAAAATTGACCAGCAATTTCTCTAGGTCTAGAAGCACCATGCGATCTCTCGTGAAAATGCGTGGCGCTCAAAAAACTTGAGGAAGCGAGAGCGAAGTTTCATTCGGCTGAAGTGGGCGTGGAACAGCACGAGGGGGTCGTTTTTCTTTTCTGTCTGATGGCAATGGGCAGTACATCAAATTACAAAACATGGATTGTAGTAGTGTAGGCTGGTAACAGTCCTCAGTATAAGTGGCAACGATATGCAAATCGCCAAAACTTTTTGCGGGACTCTTGAGGAGTGGCACACTTATTGAACCAAGTGCGAGCCAATTGTCGATTCGCAGTTCAGGTTGAGTACGAAATTGTTCCATGTTTATAGTGTGTATCGAATGTTTCCACAAGAACGCGCCGACTCTGATTACAACGATAAATTCGATCGTTTCGCACATCTCTCTATCCCAAAGCTCTATGACTGAATCCCAGCGCGGATTTTCTACGTCATCAGCTACGTGGGTCATTTTAGATTGTGCTCCGTGGTGTATCGCGACGAACGCTGACAAGTTCGAAATCCGGTGTGCACGCATTGGCGGCCGGCCTTTCAGACATACGGGCTCGAGAAATCTAGCTTCAACTATTTTCACAGTGAGCATGCTATAGTGAAGCGCGCCAAGGAAAATTGCAGCCCCTACGGCAGTACAATGTGTTTCCGGTGACGAGTCAGTGAGTTTAGACCACCTATCATCATCAAGGACGAAAATAACCATAGGGCGAGGGCCCCCCATAGAAGTATCTATCTTTCTTCCTGGCCGCCAGCCGTAGTATGTCGTAGCGGTCCTCCGTCGACCGCGCGCGCGCGGGTCGACCGCCGGACTGAAATTGAGGCAAAATTGTTGAATTATGCCCCCCGCCGAGCTGGCGCATTGAGTTTGAGCGCTTCCCAGGGTGAATATTTCCACCTTACAGTCCTTATTTCCCCTTGCAGGTTACTATCCTTTTATACCTGGACTTGGCCCCTTGGTATTCTCACTTTAATAAACCAATTCAATGGACACATCTGATCTAGCCAGACTCCAGTTGCGTTCATCATTACTAGCTGAACGCTGCCTCATCACGAAGAATGCACATGCGTTACTCAAAGAAGCAATTTTGAGGCGAGATGGGCGTTTGCTCATGATCATGTGTCGTTTAGACTCACTGGATTCGTTTGTCAATGCAGTGCAAGGATTTGTCGAGGGTGACGCCCACGCGTTGTTCTTGGAGCTTTTCAAGGTATGCCCTCTAGAGATGGCTAAATCCTTGAGCAAAAGTGAACGGGAATCCAACAAGCTTGATGACAAGAAGTCACTTATTTATGGTGAAATCGATTTTCAGTCTGTGTTCCCGTCATATGCAGACTGCAGAATCGTTGGAGGAGCGACGTGTCGTAGGTATTTTGCACGTGTCATGCGAAAGCTAAGACCGCTTGGGTCTTTCAAGTTCTACGACCTTGGCAGTGGTTCTTCCAGGGCTCTCTTTGTGGCACGGTGAGAACTTTCCGACCAACAACTAGTTGTAAAAGTCGTGCTCAGGTTGCTTTGCGATTTTGAGATTTGTTGCGGTGTTGAGATCCTCGAAAGTCTCCACTACGCTGCTGACTCGGTCGTACGCAGCTTCAAGCTCAAGTTTCTCCATCTTTTAGATACAAATTCTCCCCAAGAGGTCCGGTTGAAATGCGCATCGTTCCTCAGTACGGATTGGTCCGACGGTGACGTCGTCTTTGCTAATTCAACTTGCTTTGAGGACGATCTTGTCGCCAATTTGGCAGAACAGGCGGAGCGTCTCAAACCAGGTGCACTCTTCATCACCTTCACAAAAGCCCTTGGCTCTGACGCCTTCGAAATCTTGGAAAGAAAACGCTATCGAATGAGTAAATCATCCTGCGTTCCGACAAATTATTGTAAATTCATTCTGCCGGAATGTAGGCTGGGGCCCTGCAACAGTCTTTATACAGGTACGCAAAAATTATGATATGACATTGAATCTTCAATCTTACTTGAATGAGATGGTTGACGACATTTCATACAGTGATGAAGATCGCGTTGGTGGGCTCTCAAAGGACACTAATGAGGTGCTGGGTGGATATGATTCCGAGGATATAGTTTCGAATTCGAATTGGAGAGGGCTGATACGAAAGGTTGACTTCAGCCACTTTGATACACTTACCATTCGCGAGAGTAAGTTGTGGTGTTGAGCAACAGCGATGGCAAGTATTTGAACTGCAGTTACCTTGAGTTACCTGAAACGCGGACTATCACGGGAATCCCTAGGACCTGAAGTAGCACTGCAGCGGAGGCGCAAACGTGACGGAGGAACACATATGCTACTCTTCGCGGGGGCTAGCGGGTAGAAGGCAGCACGCACGAGCCGGCGATAAGGCCGTTGGATCAGCCCACTTTGATGCCGGGATCTGGTCTTTGTTTATAGCCATGGCCTTCCTTCAAAGCGCCTATTGATGTTGTGAAGTTCCAACTGAGACCCGGTGTGAATCTGCCCACAGGGAAGAAGATCCGCCAGCCATCGACCTGCTCTTCATGAAGCTTGCACTCAGAGTTCTTCTTGAGGTTGATGGGAGAATCATGATGAAGGAAGATCCACGCAGATCAGAAGCACAGCACCTTCTCCTCCTGGGCAGGAATCAATAGCCACATCCGGGTGCGCATAAGCAAAACTAACCCCTGACAGAAGAAACTTCATCATCCTTGGTGGACTTTGGGAGATTGATGGCTCTGGGCGCACCTTTAAACGAGTAGCTCGCATCAACAAAAATGAGCAGCCAGTGTCCTAACTAGGATTACATGCTCCCTCCTGCCTTCGTACATTATACTAACCTCGCTGACCGTTTGTCTGCGCGGTACCGTGCCCGAGTCTACGAGAGTGGCCTTCTTGCGCGCGATAGCGCTGGCAAAGTACGAGCCATGCGCTGAGTGGATGGTGGATTGCATGGTTTTTGGTTTCGATGGCTGGAAAAAAAACACCCCACCCTGGACAAGCCGAACGAAATGCTTCCGGGGCCCATCGCGTCGAGGCAGCCCAGCCAATTACGAGCAGCTCTCGGACTTTGGGGTCGTTGTGCCAGAGAGAAACTTGCGCAATTTCATGCTTGGCGAGTGGCTATCCGTCCTTTTTGGCGAGCCCAGCGGTTATACTCTGAAATTAGGCTGAAGCCGACGACTTACCAAACGACCTGCGCCGGCGACTTACAAACGGCTTATACCTGGAGCTTTGCGTCGAAGGCAGATTGGGATCATAATAATTCGGGGGTGATCAGCAGCAAAACCACAGAACTTGTGACTTTAAATCGGGTCTCTTGGACAAATCAGCATGTTTTGTGACTTACTCGGGTCTCTTGGACACGTAGGACAAATCAGCATGTCTTTTTGATGATTGACATTGTGCAAACAGCATGCGTCTGATATGCTCTCTCCCACCGGGTGAATCTATATGGGCCACTACCTTCAAGCGTGGAGATCTTTTGACACCCCAGCCTTGTAACGGAGGCAGCGCCGGATACCTCACACAATGTGGTGAGACGGCCTGGCTTTTTGTATCTGGTCGCACTTTCACTAGCAGCTGCTTTCCGCAGATGCGTGAAGATTTGCTGACACCCTCCTCTCTAGTTGGCTTCCAACAGCTTTTTCCGGCTGCTTCCGCGCGAGCTGCTCCACCGCAAATTTCAACTGATAGGACTCTTGGACGATCCTTCATTATAATCCAAAGTGCATGAGCATTATGGTAGATCGCAGTGCTACTGATTCTCTTACTTCGCCCTGCTAACTGATACTGACGGGATTTTGCATTCTCGTTCACTATTCTCTCTGCTTTGATAGCTGGTTGAACCTATAAACATCGCATTCATCATGTTCTGAGAATTCCTGACTGTGTTTACCAGTGGAGGTGTTGGGTCTATGGCAGTGGTGAGCGAGGGTGTGGGTAACCAGCGCTGCTCAGGATCCCGGACGGAGCAATCACCTGCCCCTCCTGTCAGGGTTGGCATGCTTCTCACCAAGGGACGGAGCGCGATCAGCAACTTGTTAGTGTGTTCATTCAAGGGCCTCGGAGATACTCGTGACAACGCAGCGGACAAATTCTGAATGAGTTGATCACTCTGGCCCATGATTCTGTCAGTCTTAAAAGTATCGCGTGTGTGTTGATGACAATACGCACACATATCGCCTGGAAACGCGCGACCAGAATCCACTTTGTCGCCCAAGTCTGCCCGCTGCCGGTGCCCTTCGTGAACTTCTAGACTAGGAGAACATTCATGGCGGGCATGTTTTAGGACAACATTTTTTAAAATTTGTGGTACCACAGGCTTCCTAAGAGCGGCACAGAGATCAAGACTATATTTTGTGGTGTCAAAGAGCGTGACAATCGTTTTGAGGACCTCTACAAGACCGTTCAAGTCCAAGCGACGATGATAGATTCCATAGGAGGCAAGAGCAATCTCAACGTGAGGCCTAACACTGGCCGAGTCCAAGAGACCCATATCTAATAACATTTGCATAGCCTGGGCACGACTCAGTGTGGCACTGGGTCCCACATTGAGCCGATCCGCCCGAGTGCAGTAGTAAGCGAAGAGTTTTCTCAATCGAAGTTCATAAAAGTCGTCATAGTCGAGTCCTAAACCAGTCAGAAGGTGCTCCATGGCTGGGCCATTCGCAAGGTGGCTATCACCTATAGGCCCTACAGGCCGACCTACCCTCCCCAAAACAGAAAGAAGCGGCCGAGGTGAGCTTGATGATATGCCTGCACCTTCGGGATTGTAGAGATCTATGGTTAGATTGCCGTGCTGGTCCAGCCATAACAGGAGCAATCTGTGACGTCTCAGATGACTTATTGAAAAAAAGAATTGGTCGGACGCTGGACAAACTTGAACTTTTGAGCCACTGATATATAGCTTAAGTCCCACTCCTGGCTCGAGAAGGCAACCAGAGAACATGCTGCTAGACAGGCCGCGAAATCAGAAAACCCAAGTGAACCGGTAAGAGGCTTTAGATTCCAACCCACGTGATGTAAACTAGGTGGTGAGGTGTAGACTGGGCGCCGTTCGTCATTACTCATCATTGCGTAGAACAGTTGGAGAATCTCCACGCGGGCCTATATGATCAGTTCAGGTCGCGGGGAGTTTAAGAATGCACCACAAGGTCTGGACAGATACGAAAGTCTCGTGCGAATCCGAGGTACTAAAGAAACAAAGCTTAGACATGTCTTCAAGCTTAGCCATGCACCTGCTCCATAAAGAGACAGCGCCTGTGTGAACGGATAGTCAACGCACGTGTCGAATATGCATCAAACAGCCTGAGTAGAAGCTGGGTAAGAGTCCGTCTCGCAGGAACGACCGCTTACTTCTCGATGAGAGCACCACGCGACTCAATCACCGCTATAATCTCCGATGTCATAATTGAGTCTTCATCAAAGCTTAAAATTTGGGTCATCAATATAAAGGATCAAAATCAAGAAGGACCTCACCAAGAGACTTTAATATCAATATGGACCCCGCCTTCCAAAATAATGTCGAAATGGACCTCACTTCAAAACAAAATATCAAAAGGGACCTCACCGTCCACCATTTTTGACCATCATTACCTGGAATTTAATGTCCCATCATATCGACGCGTCTTCCCATAATTAATACCAAGACGGACCTCACCTTCAAATTTTTGTTGTTTTTTCTTAGAGAAGGAGCGTGGTAGCGCACCACGTGCGTGGGGCCCCGCTTACATGGGGCGACACTCTCGTGGCCTGAGCTGCCTACTCTTCGTCGGAGTCGGGGTAAAGGCCGCTGGGCTTGAATTTGAAGTAGTCCTCGAGTGACCTCGAGCTACAGGGTGGTAAACTGATTAAATCCTACTTGGGCGTACTCGGGGAGGTGTCGGGCGACTTCCCCTTGCCCCCCGGCGAGTTCCTGGCACCGACTTTCTGGGCCGGTCGGTCGCCGCCGCCGCCGCCGCCGCCGCCGCCGCCGTCGTCGTCGTCGTCGCGCGCGCGGGGGAGATTAGAACCCAAGTCAGCCACAGGGCGACCACAGAGAGGCGATGAGTTGCCCCATATCAGCTGTCACGATATGTAAACCTGGAGCTGCAGAAATCGAGTGGGGGCGCGCCCCACAGTCGCAGTGATCGAAAATCTCGTCGCAGGACGCCGCCAGCAGGATTTTTTGCGCTCCCGCCTCGTCGTCGCTAGCGCACGCGCGATTCGTACACCACCTAGCGCGAAACGGCACGGCGCCGGCGCATCACATCATCGATAGCGTTATCCGTCGGTCGAAACGAGGGGTCCGTCTCGAGCGGGGTCCGTCCTGATATTTTTGCGATCAGGAAATAAATCTCTAAATAAATGCAAATAAATATGAACGGGCAAATGGGGCCTATAACTGGGCAGCTACCCCGCTTACATGGGGCGACACTCTCGTGGCCTGAGCTGCCTACTCCTGGTTGGGGTCGGGGTAGAGTGTCTTGACGTCCCACTTGAAGTGGTCCGCGGCGATGATGTGCTTCATGGCCTCGGTGAACACGTCAGGGTCGTGTTGTGGAAAAGCTTCTTTCATGAACTCCTTGACCGGAGCCGAGGTGGCGAAGATGTCGACAATGAGTTTCTTGAAAAGGTCGCTCTTGCGTCCCTTCGGCATCAAAGTCTCTCGGATGTCGTACTTTGTCGTTTCGACCAAAGCAGCGCGCGCCTCTGCGTCCATCTTCGCTTTCTTCACACATTTGTAGTCCTCCGATTGCCAGTAGCGCTTCGCCCCGCGGCATTCTGGCTCTTTGTCTTCAAGGCACGTTGGGCATATCCACTCGTTTGTCCAACTAATGTCGTTCTGGATGAACTTCTCGCCATAGTTTTCTATGCATGACAGACACGCAATTGAGTCGTGGTGTTTCCTATGCTGATGGCACACGTCACAAGAGACCGTCTACTCGTCAGGTACCAACTCCTTGCACTTTTCGCATGTGACTTTCGCATTCATTACTTTCGGGGTCCGAATTACAGTAGCGGGGTCCGTCTTGATATAATTGTGCGCCGGTGGGGTCCGTCTTGATATTAATTTGTGCGGGGCGCCCGGGGCCCCCACCCTTCACTGCATGTGCGGTCCGTATCTTGTGAGGAACTCGTCGATGCTCGTGTCCTCGGGGAGCGGCCAACCGGGCGTGTTGACGTCATGATTTAGCGGAGAAGCCAGGCGCTCGAAGAGGTGCTCGGGCGGGCACCAGAAACCGACGACGATGCCCGCGACGCAGTCGGGCACGGGTCGACATTTGCTGACAATGCCGATGAGGAGACGTTGGACGTGCCCCGAGTACGCGCGCCAGCTGCCGGCGCGCCTCACGGACCGCGCGAGGGGTAGGGCGGCGGCGTTGTATCCGAGACGATGAGGATCTGCGTCAGTTTCCCATGATAAGCCTCCTCTACTTTGCGTACCGGCGCCTGCAGCGTGGCCCGACACGCGACCCTTGCGCGACTGGCACTTCTCTCCGGGGAGAGAAAGGGGGGAGAAAGCACCGAGGCGCGCCGCGCCCCTCCCCCCCACGAAGAGCGCTCTCCTCTTCGAGTACCGGCGGCTACGGCGTGGCCCGACGGGCGACCCTCGCGCGCTGGGTCAAGGGGGTGAGGCGAGCACCATACGCGCTGGGGCTATGATCCAGAAGCCCGCCCCGAGGTGCTTTAATATCAAGAAGGACCCCCTCGAATTAATATCAAGACCGACCCCACATTCAAAGGATAATTTCAGGATGGACCCCGCCTCGAAGAATATCAGTTGAGCCAATTCCGCCCAGTCTCAGCTCCGAGGCATCTTCCGTTTTTGCACGAGCTCAGGCGCGGCGACACCGGGGCCCCGCCGGCCCTGTAAGATGCCTGTTCTTTCTAGCGACGCCCGGGGTAATTCTAGGTCGGTCGGCATGCCCTACTGTCGCCGGGCCGAAACTATCGCCAGCGCATCAGCGCGACGTGGTCCGTCCTGGCGTGATCGTGCGCCGGTGGGGTCCGTCTTGAAATTCTTACTAAAACTAAATAAATCGAACTAAATGTGGGCTGTGCCGGCCGGCGGGGTCCGTCTTGATATAAAATCCTCGGCGCGGGGTCCGTCTTGATATAATTGTTCGCCCGTGGGGCCCACCCTGATATTTATGCCCACCTCTCGACGCGCCACCTTTGAGCCACCGCTCGTACACCGCATCATCCATGGTCTCGTTCCGCCGGAAGCGCCACCGCTGGCACGTGCGCTAGGCGTTCAAGGGGTGGGAGCGCTGGCGCCGCCACCAGGACGCCCTCGACGACCAGAGCAGCGACAGCGACGACGACGACGAGTTCTTCGTTCCCGCGGCCGGCGCCGCGGCCAACGGCGCGGCGCCGTCCTCCTCGTCGTCGTCCTCCTCCGATGAGCGTGACGAGGATCATCAGAAGGAGGTAAAAGCGGCCTACAACGCCGCGGTGCAGCGACACGAACAGGAGCAGGAAGAGTGGAGGAAGCAAATCGGACAGTTCCTATTGTATCACGCTGAGGCAAGAGATGAGCAGGGTTCACGTTCTCTGACAATTCAAGGATGTAGACCCAGTGAATGGGAGTGTCTTAAGGAGGAATGCGACCAATGCTCCACTTTTGATCGCGTAGACCTCGACGACCCAGTTGTTTGGAACCACATAATGGAACAATATGTAGAAGTGCAGAGTTCGCTCCTGTTCCATGATGATGATGAAGGACCAGCAGAAACCCCGATGGAGGGCCACCGCCAGCGAAAGAACGGCTCGGTGCGGGTCTTCGTCTCGAAGAGTATCGACGAGTTCGTCGCGAGCCTCGAGTCTGCAAGGCTAGCCCCGACGACGAAGGTGTGTTGGCGTTTCGGGAGCCCGGGAACTAGCTCCACCCTCTGATATCTGGCAGATCTATCCATGACGAGGTGGATCCTGACGAGGTCTATGCGGCCATCGCAGGCCACTTCGGCATCAACTCGGGGCCGACCCAAACAAAAAAGAGGAAGGCGAGGATGATCGTCATAAAGATGCAATGAGGAGGGTGGGCACTTGTAAGGGGGAGTAGGAAGTCATTCCTAGTTAACTTGTCTTCGAGGGGCCAACGCCGGGCCTCCAGCCGAGCGGGGTCCGTCTTGATATTAATTTGTGCCGGCGGGGTCCGTCTTGATATTAATTTGTGCCTGCTGGCCACCCTGATATTTATGCCCACCTCTCGACGCGCCACCTTTGAGCCACGCTCCGCTCGTACACCGCAGCCTTGCGCAGCAGCCTCGAGGGCACCCCGCGCCGTGCCAGTGAACGAGATGCGGACCAAGCTCACTGGTCTCGTACTCGACCACCTCGAATTTGCGGACGTGCTACATTTGCACATGATGACCAACTCCGCGAAGCCATATTTCGCCAGAATCGTGATGAAGAAACTGCTGGAAGAGCTGAGCATGGGCCATTTCTACGAGCCTCTGATTCAGTGCGGCGTCGTGAGCATTCAAGTGCTGCAAGACGAGGGGCTCATCTCGAACGATGAGCTGGAGAACCGCATTGGCATGGGCTTCGTACACGTTCGAAAGCTCCGCCGCCGGCTTCGGGCCTGTCTCACTCCTGCCACACACCAATCCCTGATCCTGCACCAGCGGCGACGGCTCCCGCGCTCGCTGCCGCCGCGCCGGAGCCCGCGGCCGAGCCGCGCGAGGCCCAGAGCACCCGGAGGCAGATCACAGGCTACATCTGCAACTACTCCATCGCGTCGCGCAGCCTCTGGAGGCACCCCCCCCCCCCCCCCCCTTCCCCGACAAGGCGCTCGTTACCGAGGAAACTCAATTAATTTTAAAGGATTTTTTATTAAGATGCATAAAACCACGACAAGTACCTAGGCAGCTCTAGGCAGCGGGCCGCGCAGGCGGATCCCCGCCGATGCGAGGCCTGGACTGCGGGTGGGCTCGAGAATCTCGGGGCTGCAACCCTGGTACTGTGGCTCGTGCGCCCTAGCTCCAGGCGGCGCTGGCTAAAAAATCGATAAATCCTCGATAAAATGGTTATGGGAGGTGCATCTTAGTGTTTTTTCTGCGATGTGGGGTCCATCTTGGTATTTTTCCACGCCAGTGGGGTCCGTACTGACATTTTTTCCAAAGAAGACGCCGAGCGGGGTTCCTTTTGATGTTTCTCTCCGTGGTGAGGTCCTTTTTGAACCTTGGTACGGAAGTGAGGTCCTTCTTGATTTTGATCCTATCATAAATGCTATTAATACAAGTATTAAAACCAGATTAGCCATTTAGCACCAGTGCCTGGTTTCTTATCAGAATGACACGGCCCGGTGTGGTGCTCCTGGGCGTAGCGGCTGTCGTTTGTTTTCCCCTCTTTTATTCGAACCTCTGGGCAGAATATTGTCCTTGCCTTCCTTGATGGCGGCTTGGCGCACTATCGCCGCCTTGTCTGGTATGTTGGCATGCCGCTTCATCCAGGAACATGGAATTCGAAGGTCCAACCTTGGCATCCGCCTTTTTGTTTAATTTTGTACTCATGTGAAACCCTCCACAATGCCAGCAGATAAAGTTTGACCTGACGAGTTCATCGTCGATTAGCACTAAATCAAATTTATCTTAGGTCTAGCTCTTTCCGCCGATGCTTTGCCTTCTTCACTCTGCCAATAT